CACCCAGCACTACCTCCTCCTCCTCTCCTCCCCCGGCTGCCTGCAGGCTGGTACCTGCCTGTCTGCCCCAGCGCGGGGCTGAGGCGTGGGCCCGTGGGCCAGCACGGCGTCCCCACGGCACGCCTGCCTCCCCACGGACCCTTCCCTGCCCTCCCGAGCCCTAGCACCCAGCCTCTCTGCCTGCCCGCAGGCAGCTCCCTGCACAGCCAGCTGCCTGACCTGCAGAGCTGGGGTGGGCAGATGCCGGGGCCCGGCACCCCCAGAAGTGGGGTCAAAGCCATAGCAGGGACAAATAAATATCCTAGGAGTATTGGTGCCATTATCAAAACCGTCTGCACCAGCACCTGCTGGAGAAACCTCTCCCTCCAGTGTAAGCACTGGGGCACGCTCGGGTCCTCCCAGAGCCGTCTCAGGCGGTCTGAGGCACTTGCTGATGCCATTTGGCACTTTTGCTTTAATTTTCCCATCTATAAAATAGGTATTTTCTCAGATTTAATATTGTTGGGGCTCCGTACTCTTTGGATAGAAACTCCTAGGAAGCTGCTAAGTCCTGTTGTGTCGTTTGAGCCTGAAACGCTCCTGTAAGCAATCCAGTGCAGAGGAACAGAGAGCTCCATTCTGCCTCACGCTGTAACCTTATTACGTTACTGTCAGTTCTCATAAGCTATTAGGAGAAGATGTTCATTTTCAGCCCACAGAGTACAGCACTTCTGGCGCAGCAGCCCGAGCCTGGGTTTAGACGAGCGCCTGATGGCTGCACCTCTGCGCACCGTCCCGGTGGGCAAGCGCTGGAAGAAGCCGAAGACGCTTTCTTTACTGAAAGAGCGGTCAAACACTGGACCAGGCTGCCCAGGGAAGCGGTTGAGTCACCATCCCTGGAAGTATTTAAAAGACGGGTAGACGAGGCGCTTAGGGACATGGTTTAGTGGGTGTGGTGGCGTTGGGTCGACGGTTGGACTCGATGACCTTAGAGGTCTTTTCCAACCTGAATGATTCTATGATTCTATGACGCGCTGCCTGCTTGGAAGCCTCGGGGAGGCGTGAGATACCCCCAGGCTCTGCGGTACGGCAACAGCCATGTATTTGCTACACTCGACTGTCTCCCCTGTCGTCCATGGGCTGAAAAAACGACGTGTTCCTCTGCTGGTGTGAAGCAAACCCCCTGGTTTCTTGCAGCACGTCCCACCGCGAAGAGGCCGAGCTGTCCCCCGCGCCATGAGCGGGGAACGAGAGGCAGCACGGGCGGCCCCGGCTCTGCGGCCCCCCCCCAGCCAGCGGGACCCGCCCCGGGGCGCAGCTCTGCCCCCTCAGCACCTCCAAGGCTGAACCTCCGTGTCCCCATTCCACGCGTGTGACACCGCTCGACCCCTCCAGGCCGGCCGCGCCTC